AAATTAAAGCTAAATGTTCAATTCACTCCATCATAAACATCTAGTTTGAAATATCACAGAAATTATAGTCATGGATCAGTAGATTTTGTGATTCCATATAAATTCTATTGAACAATTATTTATTTTAGGCTACTTCTTAAGCTACTATTCTACTTGTACATATATTTAGTATATAAGATACATTTTCTTTTAAGATAATATGCTAAGTTTATTTTACTTAATGCATACTAAGAAGTAAATTGTATCACTAAAAATATACTACTATTATAAAATTTTCTTAAGCAAAACTTGAGTATCAGTTCTCCCACCTTATATAATAAATACTACCAAAATTGTCTGTTTAAAGATGTCATTAAAGTCTAATGACAACCTCATCAGTCTAATGTCCCAAACTCCAACAATTGAAAACTTATGTTCATGATTCTTTGGAGGTGATATATTAAAATTCTGAGTATAAATTTCTAATCTTAGATTAGTAAAATCATATGAAAATGTATTTCTAGGCCTGCATTAACAAGTATAAAAGATCTGGTATATTAATTAAGTGGTAGATATCCACAGATGCAGGTTCTAATTTTCCTTTTTAAAGACCAAAGCCCTTACCTATTCAATTAATTGCTGGGAAAGACTAAAAAGAAAATATATTATCTAATATATTAGAACTTGAAATTCTGAATTTATTTTTACAGAATTTGAATTTAAACTAATAGGCACACACTGTTTTCAAAACTCTTAAAAACAAATGAGCCTCTTTAGTAATGTTCCAACCTACTATACTTTTCTTCTTTTGCCTACAAGGATTCATAATTTATGCTGTAAGAAAGACATAATTGGTTTTATGTTTTTTTAATTTAAAAAATCCTGTTTTTATAATACTTTTGTTTTACTTGTATAAAAATACAAACTTTTCTCAGAGAATAACTTTAAAAAAAATAAAGAAAAAATTTAACCTTTTTATTTATTTGKTTTTTTTTTTTTTTTTGTGGTGCTGAGGATCAAAACCAGTGGCTCACCAGTGCTAGGCAAGCACTCTACCACTGAACCACAGACCCAGCCCTCAGAGAATACCTTTAAGCATTCCAGAATCTTAATTCTCTCATATTGAGGTTATTTTCCTACTTCTTGCTATTAGAAATAACAATGCTAGCATTTCTTTTTCTTTTACCTGTATTACTTGTTTATGGTAAATTTTTAAAGTAGGACTGTTGAAGAATTTTCTTTTATTCTTGGAGAATCTTTAGTGGAGGTCTTCTGGAAGCATGGAGTTGCATCATCAATCTTAATTTATAGAAACACTTTGTTATCTTTTTTTTTAATAATTAGCGAACATTATTGAATAAAAATTACATTTATCTTTAGAATTCCAAAACACTCTTAATATCCATTTAAGAAGCTCACTTTAGCAGAAAAGAATGAATTTGTTAAGCTGATTATGAGGTTAGTTATAATCCCGCGATGTAACGATTGTCTGTTAGGGTCCATTGCTACAAAGACAAAAACAAAAAACGGCCCTTCCTTGGTCAGACACAAGTCCAATGCAAAATGACTGGCACATTCCCCTAGCAACTCCTTTAGGTGCTAAGACTTTTAAAACTTCCACAGCTGCAATTTTATTTAAACTTAGATGAGAAAAGGGGAAGAGGGAGAACATTAAAGATGACAGCCATCTGCTTGCCTTTCACAATGAGGTGAGAAACAAAGACGCAGAATTCAATTTTTTTAAAAGAGGTTAAACCAGAGAAATGTTGAAAATAGTGTACTAAAGAAACCGGTGGGTAAAAAATACTTATTGAAGGTGTAGCCTGCACTTTTTGGTATGCAGTTTCAACTTATTATTCATAATAGATTTATAAAATATCTTATTTATGTAATTTCTATTCTTTTAGTCATATCATTTGTTTAATTACCAAAATTCACCTTCTACAAAGGTGGTTATTAGAAGCTCATGAGGAATTAGCATCCATACTACAACAGAGGCAGAATCTTATCCACAGATCTGACATCTTCTTTTTCCCTCTTTTGGTGGTTCTAGGGACTGAACCCATACCTTGTACATGCTAAGTAGGTGCTTTATCCCGAGCTACATCCCCAGTCCCCCCACAATTATGATCATAATGAAGGATCTTTCCCTATTTATAGTTTCTGCAAAATATAAGATAAAAACTATCCCGTAAAAAACCTGTTAAACAATATGATGAGACAGAATGGCTGGTACAACAGTATAATGAGGGCCTAGTCTCAGAATCTTCCTGCTAAGTCTAATGACTATGCCATTCTAAGATATACACACACACACACACACACACACACACACACACATATATGGAAAATAGATATAATATATAAAATATTTACATATGGAAAATAAGAGCTATTAACAAAATAAGGCAAAACAGAAAATAGTTAAATTCTGAACTACTGGATCAAAGAGTTTTGAATAATTCTTTGTTAATTTGTAAAATTAGTCAAGTATCTCAAGAAAAAAAATTGATAATAAAATTCCTCTTGAATTATTTGATTTATGGGAAAATACAGGTTTCTCTACCAAAAAAGCTAGGGCCTACACTCAAACTCGAGACTTAGTTTTTATTAAGTCATACATCTTTACAATTAATTTTGAAAGTTTTGGTCCACTTCTTTTTCTTTTAATTTAAATGATTTTCAGATAGTTTGAATAGCTCTGAAACACTTTTTCAGACCAAACTGAGATGCTTGACACTAAGAACAATATAGAAACTGTGAGAAATATATATATAAGAAAAAAAGGTACTTGAGAGTTTTTGCCTTCTTTTTATAAACCCAGTGACTATTTAAAATAATTGTCTCAAACCTTCAGCCTACTTCACTTTTGACTTTATATTAGAAAATATAAGAATATGAACTTCAGTAAGATATTCCAACTACCCTCTATCCTAAAAAGATCATTGATATTAGAAGATGTTAATCAGTACTGTGAGAATCACTACACAGCACAATATTAGGTGAGCTTGAGTTCATCAGCAATTTTATGAAAATAACATGGCCAAGCCAATGAGGTGACAAAACTCACATCTCCAAAAGAAGGTAGATTTTATAGAAATGTATTGGGTAGCCTGTTTATGTAACCAAATACCAATGTTCAGCATATTCTCAAAAACTAGACTCAAAGTGGAAAACATCTTAACACTCAAAATTTCACATAGCCTTTTTATTACTGAGACTTTATCATTATGAAACTCTATTTCTTTTTATAAGTACTGGCAAAGTTTCCAGCACAGGAGAAAAGAATACATAGTCATGGTGCCATTTTAAGTGAGTTTTTTAAACATTCAGGCTCAATAAGACCACAGATTTGGAAGAAAAAAGAAAGCTCAAATGTAAAGAGACATAATAAGAAACCTTTTTTTCCCCTATGCAAATGATCAATTAGTCCAATCACTTATTTCTCAAACTGGTCAGAACATGGAAGAATTAATAACAGAGACTAATGAGGATAGATGGAATGGAAATTGCTAGTTACAAGACACTTTGGTGGGTTCAACCACATCAGCGGGAAACAGCATCAACGAAAAGAGAAAGTAGAAGCCTCATTTGAAAAGGACATGAACACAAAGAAAACTGTTTACAAACCAAAGAATTTCAAACTCGGGTTAAATAATACAATTAAGATCTTTGGTAGCACACGCCTGTAATCCCAGGGACTCAGGAGTCTGAGAGGCGCGAGGATTATAAGTTCAAGGTCAGCCTCAGAAATTCAGCAAAACTCTGTCTTGAAATAAAAAAAAATAATGAGGACTGGGGATTTAGCTCTGTGGTAAAGTGCCCCTCGGTTCAATCCTGGGTACCAAAAATAAATAAATATTTTTTTTTTTTGTTTTTAAAATCTTGATAAATTAAGCATTATACCATGAAGTCTTCAAAGAACAAAGCCACAAAACAATGTTTTTTTAAATGAATTTTATTATACTATTTACTTCTTAGAAAGAAAGTTTCACTAATTATATCCATTATTCTTTAACTTTTTATTTTGAAATAATTAGTCACACAGAGAAGTTCCAAGCTACCTTCCCTCCAACAACTCTAGCACTATCAACAACCCTACATCAACACAATTCACAGCAACTACATATGCACTAGTGCGTGTGTGCATGTAACTATGACACTTTATCACACGTGCAGGCTTGTACCATAAACATCACTATGATCAAGATCCTAAACTGTATAATCACAAGACTTCCCATGGTATTCTTTTGCAACCACTAATCTTTTCTAAACAATTTATTAACAAAGGTAGGTTAATCCACTGTCCTACTTCAGCTATTACATCAAAGGTAGATACTTAGCTACTGAGGAGTAGAAAATAACCAAGTATGAGGTTTCATTTTTTTTTAAAGTCCTACATGAATAAACAAAAAAAGCATACATGTGACAGCAGGAGAGATGGAAGGCAGCTTAGAAGTACTGATGTTTGACTGACAATAACAAGGAAAGAGGGCCATATTTTCAGTGGAGGTTCAGGTAACACCTCATGTATTTACCCCAGACCTGGTAGTACAATGCAGTCTAAATTTCTCAACAGCTACCTAAAAATGATGAATTAAAACTAAGAGAACAAAAAAGAGTCAGGTAGGTAATATTTTAGAAATCTTAAAGGGAAAGCAATAAACTACTTTCATTTCATACATCTCTTACGCAGTATATTTAAAACAGGAGTATGTTAAGTTAAATACATCATTTAACAGTAATATGGAAAGTCTACAATGTACTCCATTTACTCCTTACTAAAAAGTTGGTATTATAGAAAAAAAGACTTGAAAAATCACAATATATTTGTGGACATTTTATTAAAAATATATACATAATAGCATTAATATCAGAAGCTTTTTCAAAATACAGAGACTAACAAGAAGTAAGAAAAGTAGCATATGTTCCTTAAATAATTAGGCACATTAATAATGCACTTTGAAAAGTAAACTACATCGGTTCATGCATGTTGCAATTCTCCCAAATCCAATACTTACATTCAAACTTTAGAATCCAGCATCCATTAAGAATTCCAAGCATACACTTCAGAGTACTCTGAACTTCATCACCAGGTACAATGACATGAGTTACTAAAACACAAATATAGTAGTAAGAAAAACAGAGATATAAACCAAAGTAATTAATATCCTTTAAAAAAATAACCAGTTAGTACATTTTATTAACTTACACCTGAACTTTCTTCAAAGGTCACAATTTTTATACACAAATAAAGGACTTTTTATATCATTCTCTAATCTGACCATCAACATGAAAAATTAGATCAATAGTTTACCAATAGTAAAGTTGAAGTCACATTAGCAAATGCAAATTTTCTGTTATTTTCAAATTATAACTGAGGAATTACTGCATTACATAGCATTCTAATGTCACTGGCAAACCCATAAATTTGTTCTTCTGACATACTTTCCTAAAACATGTATAAGGTTTCAAACTTCACATTTTGTAGTAACATTAAACCTGTAAGTAATTTATTACTACAAAAACATTTTAGGTTGTTACAAGATACAAAGTATATATCTCAATGGTTAAAGCATATCCAAGTTAACCAAGTTAATTTTCCAAAGTGATTACCTATTTAAAATTTTTTTCTGCTAAAAATAAAATCAAAATCCTCACCTGTACTGTCAAACTCAGCACATTTTTTAGCCTTAAGAATTGTTGCAAGTTCACTGAGCATTTTCTGTTGTTCTGAAGAAAGTCCACTGCCTATAACCACAAGTGGTCCATCTCTACGCTGCCCTGTATTCACCTGTTAGTGAAAAAGGAAATGCCACAGCAGTAAAATTTAGAAAGAGAGAGACATTCAACAGGATGTCACCTGATAAAAGACTGAATTTCATTACTTCACTTACTCTATTTAATAATTCCCCAAAATGTCTAATGAACCTACACTCACGTCCCTGATGCTCAACATATTTGAGTAACTATTTTTCTGTTCCTTTATTTTCCTCCCAAGAAAACATAAATTGGGCTAGCTCTCTTTACCCAGGACATTGTTCTTCCTTGTTGTCAAACCAGATCTCTGTAGGGTTTAAAATTTTAGTCTGTCACTGGTAAACCCAAAGTATCAATTAAAATGATCAATTCTCTTTGCCTCCTCCAATTATTCAACAGAGTTAAACTCAACTTGTTCAATTTAGTTGAAATTGAGATTATCTGTAAAGTCAAAGAACACTGAAGCTTTATGGCCTCAAAGAAGACAAATGTTTATTAAAGCTAAGGAAAAATGAAAATAGAAAAAAGGATTCAAGTTAGGAGATTGGATCCATAACAGTGAGAAGTCCATGTCACTCATGAGAGAGGAAGTAGTACTCTAACAAAGACTTACACTTTTATTTTAACAATTATATTTAGAGTTTAGGAGACAAAAAGATACAAAAATAAAGAGAAGACACCAATGTATGTCATTAAAGATTAGAAATGGAAGATGCAAAGAAACAATGACAAAGTGGCTAAAGAACAGCTAATAGAAATTTAATAACTAGAATTAGAATGAATTTCCAAAAGCTACCTGATGAAACAGAAGTAATAATCCAGTGAAGAAGAAAAGTTAAATCAGTACTGCTGTATTAAAGGATTAAAGGCCAAATGCAATACTGTCCTTTTCAAACATGAGACACAGGGCCCTTTGTGTATGTATGTATATTGGGCATTTGGGCTTTCCAGAGCTCTGAAGTACATGAGAAGAATGATGAAGGCACAAGCCCACAGAGCTGGGAGAAAGTCAGTATTCACTTCACACAGCACAACAGTTATAATTCATATTATACCTAAATCGTTGGCTACATCTATAAATAGGCTAATTTCAATAATTCATTATTCATTCCCTCAAAAAAGATTAAATGAGATTCTACTATGTATTAAGCAAGCATATAAGTCATTTTTAAAAAGATTTGCATAGATTTTGTTTTAAAAATAATAGTATTCAGAAAGTTCAACTAGCATACTTACTTATTCATTGCAAATTCCAATAGCAACAGTTTTACTGGGCATGGTACATATTCCACACCAATTTACAATCACATTTCTATAAGCATTTTTCCTAGTCACTAAATTATAAAACAATGTAAACATGACTAAACACTGTAAACACCCTATAACATGAAAATGTTCAGTATACTCAATATACTCTATAATTGTTCAATTACTATATGATGATAATATTAAAAAACAGTATGTCAAAAAATCTTGAGTTAGGCAAATAAAACTAGCTCTAAATAGAATACATTACTCTTCAACTTATATAACTCTATTTCAGCTAAATTAGTTTACTGCACAAAACACAAAAGTGGAAAGATATCATATCTAAATATAGCATGTTATACTATCTGTACCAAGAAAACTACCAAAGTGGGTCAAGCATTTTCCCATCATAGTTTTTAAAATCTCCATAAAAAACGGAAACTGAAACTAATTTCTCATAGTGAAGGAATGCTATAATAAAATATAAAGCAAATAGCTGCCAAAGCCACACGTTTGACTTAGGGAGGGACGGAGCATGGGGGCTGGGGATTCTATTTGAATAAGAAAGGGTCTCAGAACCATGAGGCTCCAAAGAGGTTCAAGAAATAATCCAAGAGCTCAATACCCTGATTTTATAGAAATTAGACATTTTGTTCAGCGGCATTAAACTCACTCTTACTCAAATAATAATTCAATGTGGTACTTTTCTCAGATAATTATTTTTAGTGATGAGTTTATAAAAATGGAGTTAAAAATCTGGAAAGAATAAAAAAATAAATGTGCTGTTCAAAAGGGATCATGGGCAGAGAAATCCCCAAATGAACATGGCCAGCAGTTTTGTTGGTCTTTAAGATCAGAGAGTATTTCTCAGATTCAAAGCAATGTATTCAAATAGTTATTAACTAATACTTCTCAACCCTTCCCTTCACCTGATATTCCCTGAAGCAGCTTCTTGGAAAGGATTCCAGACCCAGCCACCAAGCACTTGTGCTCATTTTAGGGACAAGCATGCCTCTAACAGGGCACTACAGTGCTCCTGCACACAGTCAATAAATACTTATTAAGCCCTTAATATATGTCAGAAACTGTTTTCAATGCCAGAGTTAATATAGTAAATAAGATAGTCAGTCCCTGCCTTCACAGAGTTTATATTCTAGTTGGAGCAGGGGGAAAAAAACAATTCAGTAAAAACATCTGATACCAGATAATCTGTGGTATGACAATACAGGGGGAGCGGGTGAACAACCTTGGGAGGTGCTCTTTCACAGGCAGTGGCACAGTCAGACTGGAAGGAAATGAGGAAATAGGTCACATGAACATCTGGCTCCCCACATCTGTTCCTGGCAAAGAAAACAACTAGTGCTAAAGACCTAACAGAGAACATACTTGGTGGACTCAAAGGCAGCCCATGTGGCTTAAAAAGGTGAGCAGAAAATGCCTGGGGGCAGCAGTTCCCAGAGTTCACATCTTAAGGGTTCTACATAAAGAAGCTATGCTTTCAACTTACACTTGTGATCAGGTAATGGTTTTTCTTCAGCCTCGTTATCAACCATTAAGACAGTAAATAATGATATTCACAGGCCATATCCACATGACAGTACAGATTTCTCATATTCAATAATAAAAATCCTTATTTTCTGAAGGCATTGCCATCCTCAGACTCCAAGAATACCATAAAGATATCTTTATTTCTGACACACTTAATGTGATCCTTCTTCAGCTTTTACATAAAAGGAACACTGACAAATGACAACTTTGATATGCTGTGTTCTGCCAGGAGAGTTCAAGTATAAATGAATAAAATAAGTAGCATTAAGTAGTTATTAAGTATAGTGGAACTGAATGAGAACTGACCTAAGACTTAAGAAATTTGAGTTCTAACTGGTCCATTAAGAAATATATTTTTTTAATGTCTGGTTAATAACCCCGGGCAAAGCAACACCTCTCTAGGTCTCAGTTTTCTCATTTGTAAAAGGAATAAATTAAACTGCTGACTTCTAGGTTCTCTTCTAGCTCATTTCCAAAACTATAATTTGGAGCACATTTATAAGGTTGCAATCTAAAGCAGAAGATAAAGAGCTTGCAACTATAAAAGAAACTAGCCTGTGATGGAACCTATGGCCACATCAAATTCTAACTACCTCGGCCATCTCTGTAACTTCAACAAGGCATCAATCACTAATCCATTGCCCTTCCTAGACAGGAAGTCTCCTGGGAATGCTGTTTCCTTCAGTTTATCCCCTTCCCTCATCTGAGCAGTTACCAAGATACAGCAAGTCCACCAACTCTTTCTTTCTCTCTCAAACTCCTTCTTTTCTCCATCTCCACATTATTACCACCACCCTCAATTCCAGGCTTCACCATTTCACACCTGAACTCTACCACAACAGTCTCTCTGTCAGCCTCAATCTCTTCCTTCTCACAACTGGGTCCTCCAGACCACCCCATTCCAGTTAAACACACTAAAGGTCCCCAGTAAGTCTAAAGTCCCTATCAAGAAATTCAAGGCCTTTCACAGGCTGATCCCAACCCAGTTCTTTAGCCCAAATTCCACTTTAACAAACCTTAGTTCCTCTCACCCTACACTGTACAGTGCCTTGAATTTCTAAGGTTCTTTATGTCTCCTTCCCTCCTAGCAGTTGCTCTTTAAAATTGAACTACTTTCTTCATGATGTTAAGACTAATAAAAGTGAACAACGTTGTTGTCCAGACAAAACCCATTCCTCACTGCTTCCACACTACCAAAAGTCCAGGTATGGACCTTTTAAGATCTGACCCTATTTCCAAGCCCAAGGTATGTCAAAACAAATTTAGTACTGGTTCTGACAAATCGGACACTGGGGAAATTAACAACAAGATCCCTGGGAAAAGTTTTAATGACTCTTTCACAGGTGGCCACTGTCACATCTGAAATTGTGGCGATGATCCTATGACCACTAAGGGGACACAGCTTACAAATACAGGATGGCAAAGCAAATAGAAAGAATTTGGGTCCTTGGTACAGTCCTTAACTGCTGTGTAAAACAATGCAGAGCTAGCCTATGGTGGGATCACCTTTAAGATAATAAATTGAAAACTTTAATCATTTGTGTAAAGTTTTTCTAATATTTGTATCTAACAGCATTCTAACAGATAGCCTGCTAAAACTCTTACCTTGAAGACTGAGACAACTTCTGTCATCTTCTCTGTGAAGTTCTTCCTGAACCCTTCTGAAGTTTTCTTTTACGTTCTCTATGATTCTATTGTACATTTTTAGTGCTTCTATTATAAATTTATTACAATGTGTAGTAAAATTTTTATATCTGTATTCCCTACTTAGTTGTGGGTTCCTAAGGAAAAGGCGTTCTTTCTACTTTATCTCTTGTATCTTTGTCACTTGTACCTCTCTCCTTAGCTCCAAAATCACATATCCAACAACCTACTCTGTTTGATATAAAATTGGTGTACACTACTACAGATTCCCTTCCCCATAATACTTACAATATTTACACATTCACAGTCTATCTTTCTTCTCTATCTCACACTAGCAGGTAAGTCCCCTGAACTTATCTATTCAATCTGTCTCTTTTCTGCTTTTCACTAGCAGGCAAGTTCTTTGAAGTAAGGGTTGTATCAGTCATATTCATTGTTGTATGAATGCTGCCTTAAGTACAGAGAATGTTCAATAAATATTTCTTGATAGTCTTACTCTGATTGTCTCTGAATCCACCGTAGCTACTACTAAGGAAGTGCTCAATAATTGTTTGATGAATGAAAGCCATTTGCTAACTGGAAATTTTTCCATTATGTTCCTTTCATAACCAATTTCAATAAAAGATATAAATGTCCCAAAGCTAAATCTATACTTACAACTGAGCAATGGCTAGTTGAGGATGATTCATTCTTCTCTGGTAGCAGCAATAATGATTTCATATTTTCATTGTCTGTATAATCCACAGGCCGCAGACCAAATATGTTACTGGTAAAATAAATGCAGATGGGTCTAAGTAAATAAAATGTGTGACTTGATTCTTAACAAAATGGATGTACTGGTAGAATAATTGTTTTAACATCCTTAATGATACACAATGTTAATGAAAATAAATGACTCAGAACTCACATTAGGCATATGGATCCAGTATCAAAAGCTACTGAATTCAATGAAGAAAGATGTGAAATTTCAATATGACACCAAATCATTACACAGAGTATTTTTAATTGAATATGTTTTAACTCATATTTGAATTTTTCCACAACTCTCGTTTTCTGTATTCATATTCACATTTTAAAACATGGTTTCCTAATCATTAATCACTACGGATGAGATGCTTTCACATGCAAATATAAATCATTTACTATAGCTATTATAGGCTCTATAGTCTGTATAAACAAATACAAAATTAGATAACACAGCATAGGCATTTAGATCCATTAGAAGGAAAACTATGCTGCATGACAAATAATAAAGCAGAAAACATGGCACTTTAAAAATTAATTTTAATACATATATATACTCTAATCTATAATAATTACAGCCATCACAGAACAAACCATTGTGGTCCAGAGAGCAATTTGATGTAGACTTCTCAGCATGCACTGATTCATAAGATACAGTGTTACACTGAAGAGACTTTACATCACAGTAGGAGCCCCTTATTTTATAGATAGAAAAATAGAGAAGAACAGTTTCCAATGACTAGACTAAGATAACATGCTCTTGTTCTTTCCAGTAAGATTCAATGCTGTCCATCCACTGTCTCTCAATTGTAAGTAATTCTTACAACCTCAGGACTCTTATCTATTCCACTTCTTTACATATGGTCTGTAATCAGCTTGGAAAATATTCATGCATTCAATTTCAATAGCTATTTTTTTTTTTTTTAATGTACCAAGAACTCTTGCAGGCTCTAAAGAACCATTGAGATAAAAGGTTATTCTACCTTCACAAAGCTCAATGGGCAAAATAGAGAAAAGCAAACAGAAGGGACTTTGCAGTCTGGTGAAGGTTCCAAGGTCTGAAAAGGAAATGAAGAGAAGGTAGAATAAGAATAGAAAAGTGTATGTGAAGGCCTTTAAGCAAGGTAGCACAGTAAATCAGAAACAGAAGATAAGAAAAGACAAAGTGAAGAAAGAGAGTAAGACACGCACCACAGGGAATGAATGGGGTGATGGGTAAAGAGGCATTCTGGAGTGTAAGCTGCAGCCACATTATGTAAAAACAAAGGGGTGGTGTTTAAGAACTGAACTTCCACCTCAGAACAGTTTCCTAAGCAGCCATAAGCAGGAGAGAAGGCACTAACAGAGTACGCTGGTTAAGTGCAGGGGTTGCAGAACCCGACTGCCTAAACTTAAATTCCAGCTCTGCCAATCAAAAGCTATGTGACCTTAGACAAATCATTTAAGCTTCTTGTGCCTCTGTTTCTTCACCTGTAAAATGGAAATAATAATATAGCCTATTTTCTAAAATTACAAGGATGAAATGAATTAATACATCAAAACCACTTAAAACAGTGCTTGGCAGACATATTGTCTGCGTAACTGCCTTAACATTGTCAAAGTGCATTTTTAAAAGACAGATTAAAAAGGAAAGTAAGGGAACATAGTAAGTTATATCTGAAGTATATCATTTCCCTTGATTTTACGATATACTTCATATAGGATTTATAATGATAATTTGCATGTTTAGTAAGGGAAAAGTAAAGAAGCATGTGTTCTGAATATTACAATGAGAATAAATTTTCATTTTCTGTTTGGTACAATCTAAAGAGTGTAAGGAGGTAAATGAAAATCCTTTTCCTAACAGGATTCTTTCTGATCACCAAGACTGATGGAAAGGAAGGGTTAAGCTGAAGTGCTTAATGTTTCAACTTTGCCCTAAGGGCAAAGTTCACAATGCAGGTAAAACCCTTCCATGTCCTTTTCCCTACAGGAATGACACAGTAGAAACTGCCTGCAACTGTGCACTGAGTGAAAAACACCACAAGTAAAAATGGAAAAGTACAAATTTAAACTTGTACTCAAACACACAGATCATCCAATCTGCAAAAGCAAATACAAAAAAGACATTTTTACTAATGCTAAACCCGTCACCCATGACAGAAAGCCAACATGGTCCATAAATGAAATCCTTTATGAACAAGTACAAAATTGCAAATATAAAGATTTAATTTTTCAAGTCATTTTGCCTATTGTGAACAGAAAAAAGTACAATCATTGAAAAAAGTTAACATGTTTTCTTAAAGCTGTAAAACATAAATTATCCTTGTTGTAGGTGATTTCATTTTTTAGAGAATTAACTAGCACAGGAAGACAATTAATAGGTCCAATGATCCATATAATATTTTCTAACTAAGAATTCAATGTTCTGCCAAGGAAAAGTCTGTTAATAGCAGACCAAATACCAAATTCTAAATCCTACATAGCTGTTATTTAAAAAAAAAAAAAAAAAAAGCATTTGATATTTTCCACAAGGGTGAGAACTTTAGTCCTGGGTTTGCACTGGGATATACATAAAGAAGTGGGGCAGACGGGTGGCCAACAAGATTTTGAACAGTTAACAATACAAAAATTCCCAGATAATAAATATTATAAAAGATATAAAAATTTTTTTCAATATTTGAGATTAAAATAGAACTAATCTTCCCTCTTGGGCAATGAATTCTTAGCTCAGAAAGGTAAATTACCTGAGCAAAAAGCAAGTAAATTCAGAGTTAAATGAATTAGCATTATTTAAAAAGTTTACATAACAAAAGCTGAAAATACATTAAAAGCTATTAAAGTGTGACTTCACAGTAAAATGGAAAAATGTTCAAATTAATTAAAAAAAAAAGATAAAATCTGAAATAAAGACATGACTTTCTACTGCATGGTCATTCCCTCCATATTGACTCAGGGCCCCAAAACCTTGCAATAAAAAAATTCAACATCCGAGCATAGCCTCTAAGGGAAAAAACTGGGTTGGGAAGACATCACTGAGAACCTATAAATTACATAATCAAGATGGCAAATAAAGAGTGTCGTCTATATTTTTAATTTGTGCTATATATGGTTAATTCTTGGATATCATGCCTTATAAGATTTCAAAATTTCCTCCCTATATTCAAGAAGTTTTTTAACTCAATTGGCTTTGCAGTGATAATATTCCATTCTTTTCTTTTTTTTTTTTTGTTTTTATTTAATATCTGGTCTTCCGTTAACAGTTACCTAAATATATTACTGAGCTGTTGACTCTCCCCACTTTCTGGGCTACAAAAAGGTTCTCAGTTATATTTACAATTAATAAATCACTACTGAAAAGACAGTTCTTAAGCACTGCCTCCACTATTAGGGTCATGTGATCTGAGCACTCATTACAATCTAATTCCAGAACCTTAAAATTTTCTAATCTGGCTCCCCCAGTCCTCTTCTAACAAGTTTTTCTCTCTCCTAAAGACATCTAAAATAACTAGAGGCTGGATTTTGTCTTTTTTTTTTTTCCTTCTCTCTCCCCCAGAACTATATTACAAAAATTTTACTCCTTTCTATAGTTTGGCTTACCTCTAACTGAAATAATTAAAACTAAAATTCATACAGCAGCAGAAAAGTTGTAAAGTTTAATGAAAATACAGAAATGCACTACATAATGCCATTTTGGTCAACAAATGACCACATATATAACATTGGTCCTGTGAGATTATACTGCCTAATGATGTCACAGCCATCTTAGTTTATGTAGGACAGGATGCTCACACAACAATGAAATCACTTAACAAGGCCATTTCTCAGAATGTATCCCCATTGTTAGGTAAAAGAAGACCATGTACCAAATACTGAGTAAAATCTTCACATGGTGTGAGGATATGGTCCTTTTATCAAACATGCTCTCAGCAGAATTATTGCTTCCTTATATATTTGGTGTAACAAAAATAAAAAAATATTTTAGCTACAGGGCCCTGAAATATGTGAAAACAGAAACAATACTGTTTTAGCATTCAGTATATAAAAAGACCACCACAGCATGTGATTAAAAAATACATAAAGAAAGATTTCAAGTTTTAAGGGTTTGTGATGTCAACATTATACATGTGGGAAATAAAACAGGGATGGTATTTCCTTACAGACCCTGTCTCATTGCTGTGTTCAGTGCTAACCACCAGTACAATAATCTTCTTGGGCATCCTCCTGAAAAATCATAGCCTCAGATAAAACTGCAAAATAGGCAGTTTGTTTTTATAGTCCCACAGGAACTATGTAAGCATAAACTTAGTGGGATAAAAAAAAAAAGTCCATCTTCTCTTTAATGCCTGATTCCTCTATTAGTTAATTAGTATTTCAGAGTAATACCACTAATAACAAAATTGGAGAGATCTCTAAAAATCATATAATATGTAAGTTATCAAAATAGATAATGTTGTACCACCTCAGGGTACAAGCTTATTTCTGCAAGATACTCTATTCATGATCCAGAAGAAAAAAGACTGGAAGCATTCTGATTACTTTTTAAAAACTAAGAGTATGATTTTGATATCAAAATCTGAAGGCAAAACATGAAAAATCTCAAATTATTCTAACTTATAATTATGCGAAACTCCTAGTGAACTGACATAAATATTTGTTTGAAGAAGCTGTGTGCCAAGTACATGCATACAGTCCCAGCTACTGAGAAGGCTGAGGCAGGAGAAGAGTTGGGCCTAAGAGTTTGAAGCCAGGCTCGGCAACTAGGAATCTGAAGCTAGTCTCAGCAACATAATGAGGACCGGTCTCAAAAAAGGAAAAAGAGAAAAAAAAAAAAAAAGAATAGTTATGATGATAAGAATAACAACAATATACCACACCAAGTTTATCTTAAGAATTCAAGAATGGTTCAACATTAGGGCTGGGGATGTGGCTCAAGCGGTAGCGCGCTCGCCTGGCATGCGTGCGACCCRGGTTCGATCCTCAGCACCACATACCAACAAAGATGTTGTGTCCGCCGAGAACTAAAAAATAAATAAAATTCTCTCTCTCTCTCTCTCTCTCTCTCTCTCTCTCCCTCCCACCCTCCTCTCTCACTCTCTCTTTAAAAAAAAAAAAAAAAGAATGGTTCAACATTAAATATATGAGATGGGGTCTCATGTATTTGTGACATCACCACACAAAAAGTACAGGATCATTTCATATAATATGAAAGTCATTTAATAAAATACAGACTTATTAAAATAATGGTAAACAACTAGAAGGAAGCTTCCACAGGACAATAAAAAACATCAATATTTATAATATCAATGTCAAATTGATTGTAAACCTACAGTCAGAATTTACAAAAAGGACAAAGCAAACAAGCTATCACCATTATTTTACAATAATTCTTCTATATGCTTGGACAATTGTAGTAAGAAATGAAAATTAATAAATCATAATGATATTCTTAATATAAGGTGTTGGCTGGATAGAAAAGAAAGGGACTAAAATCAATAGTTTTCCTATATATCAGGAATAAGTTATATTTATTAATAAAGCATTAAATTAACTAGGTCATCAAAAGAACTAAATACCTAAAATAACCTCAAAAAACAGTTATGTGTATCTGTATACACACACACACACACACACACACATATACAAAAGATTAAAAACTTTGTAAGATATATGAAACAGAAGACTTAAAACATATGAGGGTCTTGAATGAAAAAGTAACCTTAATAATCCACTGCAATCTATATTCCTACTCAATTTCAACCAAAATCCTAGTACAATATTTTTTAAACTTGAGAACACTGGCAAATTGGAGAGGGGGATAAAATGGCCTTAAAAGTTGTAATACTACAAGAATTGCCTTGGGCAGTCACAATCCCCAAAAGATAACATACCACAATGCCAGAAGGGCAAGAGAAGAAGAATTCTCCCTGGGAACACATGATATTTATTCAAACAAGCACCAGGAACCAGATCCTTTACTATTAAAAAAAAGAGTATTACTTATAGAAACTTGGTTTTCAACATACTTGTCACACTTACAGTAAAGCTGGTAGCAAAAGGAGGCAATTTCTCTCTTATCTCATCTGACTTTTTATCAAAAGAGGAAAAAGTATACTACATCTCCATTTGTTCAAACACTTGATGATTCTCTCCACACAAAATTGTATGTATAGACTATATTAGGCATTTGACTGAGCCTGGAAGGGCAAACATGATCCCTGATCCATAAAACATGCAATCTAAAAAGAAGATAATATAAAGTAAACACACCAGCACTTAAACTGTGTGACCAGGGAGAACCACTATAGACAAACATGAGGAATCAGGAAAAGCAACCAAAAGGAAGTGCTATCTGAGATGAAACTCAAAAGAATGAGAAATTGATTACCAAAATGAATACTCCAGAGGAAAAACTAAAAGTATATGTAAAGGCTTTTTTTGTTTGTTCATTTTTCCACAATAGCCTGGCACATTTTAAGGAAATAAAAATTCAGAAAGGCTAGTGAAAAAAAATTCTTATAGGAAAGGGGGACAAGAGGTTCAGTGGTAAGACAGACAAGGTTGAAGAGGTAAGTAGTGCCAGACCACACAGGGTCTTAAAAATCATACTTTGGAGTTTAAAGTTTATTTTAAAAACATTGTGAGGGAGGAAGTGAAGAGTTTTAAGCAAATACTTAATCTGACAGAACTTGTATTTTTTGAAAATACTCAGGCAGCAGAATGGGTAATGAATTAAAGAAAACCAATCTGAAAAGGAAGAGGCCAGCAGGACACTGGTAAGACCAATTAGGTGAACAAGAACTACTATCAAACAAAAAGCAAAAAACCACAGGGACAGTATTTCAGAATGATAATCAATAGTCTACAAAATATATAACAATGTTTAGAAACAGAGACCATACTATTATGCCCAAGAACTACATCAACAACTGCATCTGACTTTTGACTGAGACCTTTTTATCCAGTATCAATCCTATCTTCTTTTGTTAAATAAACTCCTCTTCCCAACTGTATCACATGTAACTATTTAATTAAAAATTAAATACATTTTCAAGTACAGTTTCTCAGTAGTGACAGTTAATTTTCAAGTGTTCTATATCTACAGATGGCTACTGGCTACTGAATGCCCAGCATTGATATAAACATTTCCATCACCAGAGAAAGGACTACTGGACAGTGCTGGGCTATACATAAACCTAAGTCTGTCACTTCTTTAGGTAAGTATATTTAAAACAAGTGCCTGTCCTCTCTGAGAAGATACCTGTGAAGGCAGGCTCATTCACTGTCTTATACCCACTCCTTGTATATTAATAAGTCCTCACACTACAATGAAGAATCATGGTGTACAAACCACAAAGACAGGCTCTGTGTTTTGGCTCATTAATCCTCACTATGCTTTGAAGAAATAGAAAAGCAGCAGGCATCACCCATGTTTTATAGGTGAGGACACCAAGGCATAGAAATTAACCTGCCTGAGGCTATAAAGTCAATAATGGAGTCACAAATAAAAGCTGGATTCCCTAACACCCTGACCAGTGCTCCATTCATTATAGTAGTCATGGCTGATTTAAGAACCCCAGGATGGAAACTATTCAGTTTCACCTGACCCAAGAACCCGTTTGCTTTATCAAATGGCTTGCTACACCCTCAGGAGGGTCAAATCTGTTAGGTCCTTATATAGACATAGATATCTCTATTAGATTCATGTATACACACACACACACACACACACACACACACACACACACACACACAGTATGCCCCAACCCCCAACTATCTTATGACTTGTGAAAAGAAATAAAGGAGATTAGACACACTTACTGAAACTAACAGCACTAAGGTATGGTACATTCTTGCATTATTATTTTGTTTTTCAATTATGTTAAATTGTTACCTATAAAATATTACAACTTAGAAGCTCTATATTTTCCGATTCTTATTTTCCTCTGTAAACTGGGTAAGCCTGACTTTTGTGTGCTCTTTCAAAACCTATAGAAGCAACTGGGGCACAGAGAGGCAATTCTGACATTTTCATTTCAACTACCTAATTAACTGAAAAGAGTAAAATAATATATAGGGAGAAATGAGCCAAGTTACAGATTAAAGATATAAAATCTACATACGGCATTTGCTTGTGATACTCTTGACAATAGCAATTTTAAAATGCAGCCGCCAGCATTCACTAATGTGCCTCTGTGCCCTGACACTGCAAAACAATTTACTCAGAGCCTCATTTGAATAATGTGAAAAATCTAGGAAATAATTCTACTGCACTTGCCTAATATCTGAAATCTTATATATTTTAAYTGTTGTTATACTAAATATGCAGAAAAAGGCATGAAGAAATGAAATATTTAAACTAATTCTAATGAATCTGAGAGCACAAAAAAATAATTAAGTTATAAATTTTTATAAATAAGCATGAATCAATCTACAGAATATAAACACTAAGAGAATTTGCCCATAAAATAAAGTTTCCAAAATGGAAACTATTGGCAACTGTTTCTGAAAAAATATAGCAAATCTCCAGTATGTAAAGTCTCATCAAGAAAAAGAGCACACATGCTGATTTGAAATATGGAACCTAATGGTCACATCTAACTCTACTTTTAGAAAAGAGAGGAAAACATCAACTTGGGTAGAACAGTCTTTGCTTCATCATGTACCTTGATTTGAGAAAACAAGTCAATTTAAAAACAATTTTTAAGAGGACTACTTACACTGCATTCCGGGAGGCTCCACAGGACAGTAACAACCTGACTATATCCACGTGCCCATTCCTGGCTGCATCATGAAGTGGTGAGTCATTCTGGTAGCCAGTGGTGTTCACCAATGCCTTATGTTGGAGCAGCAATTCCACTACCTTCAGGTGCCCATGGTTGCAGGCTTCGTGCTAATTCAGTTAAAAACAACAACAACAACAAAAAAAAAAGTGGGGGCAGGGGGAAGGATGAGGAAAAGTGAAAGATAATATAATACCACCATACTTAGAGAAATAAATGGAAACCTCAGTCAGTAAACTTATCCTTACCTAAATACTCATACAGACTATAGGGTTGATGGAAGAGTAAAAGTCACTGTGAATATATCATCTTTGTGGTGAGATATGTGGTAATCAAAAATCTGTGCAATTCACAGAAAAGAAGAACCATGGATAAAGCACTCTTCTTTGTTGTTGTTGTTGTTTTAAAGATAATGCAGCTTTAAACCAACTATAGCTCCTCAACTGTTCCACAATACTTTTAGAGCACTAAGGAAAAAAGACCTGGTATTTAACAACCAGAGCATGTATAAAATCTGAAATTCTCTAAGGCTGAAGAAAATGCACTGTATCAGGTCAATACTAAATGGTAGACCAGCACACAGACACGTGCACCCAGTAGAGTGAATGGCCTAAGAGTTATTTAAAAGACAAGTTCTCTGCTAAAGTTAGAGGTTGTTGGATGGCTGGTGTCAGTGATAACAGAACACAGTAGGCTTTCAAAACAGCTTACTAAATAAATAACAGAACTGCTAACAATGGAATATTCAAAGATATATTACATGCAAATCTTTCCTTATTTCTAATGAGCTTCCAACAATTTCACTATATTGTATTCTCATAAATATCTGGTATATTGTGCTTTCTTTAGCACATATCAATTCATAATAGGCAACACTACATTCAACATGTCTAAGTCTGTAACTAGGAAAAAGGAACTCAAACTAGGCATCAGATCCTTGAAATTACCCACTGACCTTTACTATCATTTGCCTTAGTGGCATTAAAAATAAATAAATAAATAAATAACTTTTCTTTGAAATGTTTAGCCAGCCTTTGGATTCTAAACAATAAAGTGACTGTGATCCAGACTAAACCCTCCCAGTTTAAGAATTTGCTAAGGAAAAGTCATTATATATACCTTTCAACCTTTTCTGCATCTAGCCTAATGACAGCCTCCTAATTTCTGTGCTTAACTTCTTGTTTAAAGGATAAAGAAAAACCCTCATTTGCTGACACTCTATGCTTTCATTCAAATATCATGCTTTTGTCTTAATGTAATTAATGCATATAGCAATTGTTTCCAAGTCTTTTTACCATTCTTTTTCCAAAGTATTCTTCACATTGCTTTTATAGTAATAACAAGTAAAGACTTAAGACACTTAATTAGGTTCCAGTGACATGCTATGCTATAGAATGAATCCTGATGTTCATTAACTCTATACATTAGTTAAATTCAGCAATGTAGTATAACTGGATTCCTAAATTTAAAGGTAGTTAAAAGGCAGCCAATTTCTTGTCTGTCAAAACTGAAAAGTTAAGATGGAAAATAATTATTTTTTATACTTAATAAAAACATAAATTCTTCAGTTCAAAACGAGTATAGAGATGGCAGAGGCTTATATATGGACATCATAAAACTATAAACTTTAAGAACTATGAACATAAAGAGAAGAAGAATAAAAAAAAGTAGATACCCGGCACCAGAAACAAACAAAACAAACTAGAAAACTACCAATGGTGTCCATCCAGCATGGTCTTTAACATTCGGATCACTTCCGTTTTGCAAGAGGTATTCAACAGAAGCAACATCACCCTAGTAGAACAATGAAAAAGAAAAACATATTAAAAAATATCAAAAACTGGGGGTGTAGTTCAGTGGTACAGTGACTGCCAAGCATTCAGGAGGCCCTGGGTTCAATTCCCCAGTACTGCTGGGAGGGAAAAAGGTATCAAGAACATAAGGAAGATACTTAGGGCTTTGGGCTTTTTGTTTTTTTAAAGATTCCATCTTCTTCAAGAAAAAGTTAAGCTTAAATCTTTTCTCTACTATCTATTGCTCAAGAACTAAGAAATATTAGGCTATGCATGTATGAATAGTACCAATATATTGCATTATACTGTCTATCCTTGAATATGGAGTACAAAATTTTTATTAGTAACCCATATTCAAAATTCATCTCAAGATACTATATAAATAATCCTGGCCAAAGACCATCTGATCATGATGAAGTTTTTAAAGTTGTCATTTCATTTGTGCAAAAATCCTTTTTGCGCATACATGAAAATGATATCTGAGTATTATTTAAAAAAAACACTATTTATGGCCAAGAAAGGTACTGAGTGAAGCCAATGTTAAACTGCCAAAATCTGTTACTTTACTGGCACTTACTTTATTTATCCTAACACATTAATTTAGTTTATGTTCACCTTATTTGCTTAGAGGTATTTCATGGCAGAAGCAGTAGCTATTTAAAATGGCAAAAAAGGGATCAGAAGAACGTATTCAAAACAACACATGAAATAAACATTCGACGTTTAATCCCAAGTTCAAGATTTAAAATCATCATCCATTATCAATTAACTGAATTACAGAAAATAAATTTTGACAAATCTATGATATTCCTTACAAAATCTTTCTTACTACACAAAAGGTTTTCAACCCTATTTCAACACTCTGGAAGTATATGCAATTATTGTATAACATCAGCTCAAGGATATAGTGGAGAAAAAAGGAAAAAAAGATATAAATAAGAAAAACATTTTTGTAATCAAAGCCTGTTTTTGAAAAAGATGAATAAAATCAAGAATAGGTGAATTAAATTAAGGCACAAGGCAAGGAAAACAAATTAAAGGCAGACAATACTAATTCTATCTTTAAGTTATTAAGGTACTTTTCATTGTTAAATGATATTAAAATTAAATCCCTTTCCAATTTTGAACTTTCTGTGTCTTATGTATCCTGATCTAACTAAATCCGAATATAAGTGAATGGAACTAAGAAGCCATCTTTTGAAAAAAATAAATGACATAGCTTGGAAACTATGTTGCCAACCTCCAATGAAAGTGAACCCTGGTAAATAAATTAAGACTGAAAGAATTAATCTCAGGGAATATCTCATCTCACTCTTCTTTATTTATTTATTTATTTTTTGGTGGGGGTAAGGACTGAAAATTGAACCCAAGCCCTCACACATGCTGGGCACACATTCCACCACTCAGCTAAACTAGGCCAAATTTCTACTGTTCCTTTTCCCCAAACTAAGACCTTAATATAATATGCAAAAATATCTGACATCTTTCTTTCTCTCTTTTCTTCCTCCCTCCCTCCCTCTTTCTTTCTTTCAGTATTGGTCAATTCTTAAAGCCTTCTTAAAAAATCTCTAGTTGGGGGCTGAGAATGTAGCTCAGTGTAGAGTACTTGGCTAGCATGTACAAGATCCTGGGTTCAATCCCTAGTACTACCAGAAACATCTAACTACAAAATAAAAGTTATCGCCTCTTTTTAAAACAATATCAAGTTTTAGGAAGAAAAATGGCATTTATGCAGTGAGATGAAGATAAAATTCTCTTGAAATTACACCATTTCAGGTCACAGCAAATACAACTAAATCTGTTCTTTTAGGATTAACAGGAGAGGTATAGTTTAACTAAATTCACACACACAAAAAAAAAAAAAAAAAGAAAGAAATCACTGAATTTATTTTGAAGAAGGCTAAATAAATAAGCTACATATGACAGAAAAAACATATACAATGTTGTGAGTTATTTTGTGAAATACTTCTTTAATGGAGATGAAATCTCCTACCCCCAATACTTTTTAAATTTATATGTGTGTGTGTGTGTGTGTGTGTGTTATTTTTGTTTTCCTATTGTGCATCAGGGATTGAACCCAGGGGTGCTCAACCACTGAGACACATCCCCATCCTCCATTATTTTCTATTTTGACACAGGGTCTCATTAAGCTGCATAAGGCCTGGAACCTGCTATCTTCCTGTCTTAGCCTAGTGAGTCGCTGGGATAACAGACAACCATGTTCAGCTTAATTTATATTTTTTAAACTGAGACATAAAACATAAAAATTATACTCATTTATGGGGAATGATGCTTTGGTATATGTATACATTATATAATGTTTAAATTTAAATAGACATATCTATCTCCTATCATTTCTTTATGGTGAAAAGATTAAAAAAATTTTATCCTACCTTTTTGAAATATATAATACATATTATCATCTTCTATACTCATCCCATTATGCAACAGCACACCAGAACTTCTTACTCTTATCTAACTATATTTAGCCAATACTCTTGAAATGAAAATTTTCCTCTATTTGGTGGATGTGTACAAGTCACTAATCCCCTAAATATAATTAACATTTGATTTTTAAGATTTTTTTGCTTTTTAAAAAATTATTTCTATTTTCATATTTTGGCTACTTCTCAAGTACAGAACCTTTAGAAGGTAGCTTAAGGTTTTAAAATAAATTCACACGCATCATGTTTTTATTGTCTTAAATTAAAACAAAATAACGTTAAAGGTTTAACCGACCTAAAAGTAAGCATTATATACGTTCCAAACTGATTATCCTAGTTACAAAAACCCCCCACATTTTCCCAAAATCCCTTAGCTTGCAAATTCTGTTCTTCCAGTATAACATGTATTTAGCAACTTTTGTTCTACACCCAAGTCAGTTCCAAATGAATTCAGGAATATCGACCAAGAAATAAATTTGAATTATTTTAAGCAATCCCCTGAACACCGAAGAGATAAACAGCCAGAACCATACACATTCCTTACCTTCGACATGAAAGTACCCACAAAAATACACACGCACACACAAACCCTCCTCAAAAGTTCCCTTGCTTTGATTCTACATGGTAATAACAAAAAGTATAATCTAAAGAAGTCCAGAAAATATAAACACAAGTGCAGAATGGAAGTCATACGGAACATTAAAATAGAATAGAAATAGAGTGACAGTCTGGAGAATACAGAAATTTCTTTTAAGTCACTATTTTCTTTCATGTCACCTTTTCATACTATTAAAGGTGTCTTCTATTAATATTTCACCCCTTGAAATGTGTAACTGATTAGCAAACTCCTTACTTCTTATACCCAATCTGCTTTCTCCTCTCTAGTACTTAAAAGTTTGTCATATTTTCATCTTTCTACTTTATGTAAATTTATAGTCACGCACATAAATAAAATTATGATAATTAGATAGGGTCCAATGTAACTGGATAGGCTTGAACTGATATGAAGTTTCCAGGAAATAAATTAACTTCTGCTTCACATTTCTTTAAATTACTTTCTTCTCTAGAAGAATATTTTGAGTAAGAAGCACTCACTCTTATTCCTCATAACTTAGAAGAATAATTGAGGTTTCCATAAACCACAGCTAAAAAGGGGGCGGGAGGGAAATCATCCAAGCAAAGAATTTACAAAGGCTTATAAGAAATTTAAAACAGATTTGGTATTTTCAAGTAATACTTTAAAGTCTGAGAATGTGTCCACTGAATTTTTATATGCTAACTTTTCAATGAAAGGAAAAATTCTTCACATATTCTCACATATTGCAGATTTGTGCATATTTTAGCAATATAAATTAGCTTTCCAAAAATACAAACAAAATTATTTTCCATGTTACAAAGGTAACTCTTCTAAAATATCACTAATAAAGATCTTCATAAAATCAGTAGAAAATATTACAATAAAAATTACTTACCCAGCATAGTTAAACATTTCCATAAAAAGAAACTGGACAAGTAGCTAAAACTTCCCCTTTTAGCAATGAGATGTTATTTTAAAAATAAAAAAGCCATCTAGGATAGCACTATAAAATGTTAAACACTTCTCTAACTTCTTAGAATTTACTTAATAATTTCATAAATGATTCTGACTACCTACTCAATATTACAATAAATCACTACTATTATAAAAGCAGACTTGCACGTGAATGGTGGGAGACTCACTGGAAGATGTGAATGCTGATTCCAAGGTGTTCCACAATTAAAATTGTGAACATATCATAAATGCCAGTTTACTTTCATGTCCTTTACTTTCTCATGAAGCTAGAATGCAGGACACATAAAAATGATGTGAGTATAGTGAGTTTCAAAGTCAAACCCTGAAGGAGACACCTCCCTAGGGATTTGCTCAGCTCTACTCAGCAGATCTCCACCAGCTTTGTTATAGTTTAAGCAGACCATGCCTTTAAGTTGACTTCAAAATATAATCTATTATGTCTGAATCACAAATATATCACGGCGTGCCAGCTTTGAGCCATTCTATCTCACTTGTTCAGTGCTGTGGCATGATTTACAAGTAACTATGGCCATGTTAAGAATCTGTGCCAGAGAACCTGGGATGACAGCGATGTTAACTCCAGTACTTACAAATTCCCATGCACTACTATGTCATCACATAATAGAAAATGGAAAATTTTCTTTATATTCTTAGTATTTTATGTTTTACTAAATCAAAAGAATGAACAATATGAGTGTTAATCAATCTCTCATAATATTATGTTTTCAACAGCATTTTAGGTATAAGTGACAGATACTCAAATAGGAACATGGGTTATAATGATATAAGAAGAGGGTTATAGAATTATGGGGGTGGGCAGAGAAGCCAAGTTTTGACTCTCTGATTACTCTAGTTGTCATGAAAATATAATAGGAAAGCAGTGCAAGAAATTAGGGAGCTAACTCTGTGGTGTTGTTCCCCAAAATGACTTCATGCTAAACCTCAATACCTGAGAATATATTAGCTTACATAGAAAAGGAACACTGAAATGTGACCAAGGATGTGGACCTTGAGAGGGGAGATTCATCTGTGCTAGTGGCCCCAACCTAATCAGTCTTTAAAAGCACAGAACCTATCCTGGCTACGACAGAAAGAGCATGTAAGGACTCAGCCTGTTATTGCTGGATCTGAAGACAGAGGAAGAATACCACCAACTGAGGAATTTGACAGAATCTAGAACCTGGGAACAGCCTTCAGTTGAAAGACAGAAACCAAGAACTCTGCAGTTCCTGCCAACTACCCAAATAAGCAAGGGACAGATCATTCACTAAAGCCTCTGGTAACACAACTGACAGACTCATTTTAATCTGATGAGACTAATACCAAATTTCTGACTCAAAGAACTGTAAGAAAATTAATTTGCACTGTTTTAAGTCACTAAAGCTTATTATATAGAAAGCTAACACAAGTGATCAGAGAAAAAAGACAAAGGGTAATGCCAAACATGATGCCTAGAGATAAGTTTGATACAAGATATTAAAGAATGTTAATGTTAATAAGATTCCCAAGTTCAGAGATCATTCTGCAAAGTCCTAATTGCAGCAGAGGAACCTAAACAACCCAACATAATAGTACACCTACTGCTATATTCTGTGCCCTCTCAATACACATACCAAGTATGCACAGGCAACCACACCTCCTGAACCCAAGAAAACTACACATAACTATGAAAACTGCAAGTCTACCAATATGCTTTAGGGAAAAACAACCACCAAGAAAAACCTTATCTTTTGACAACACAAAACCTGCTACTTTCCTTCATTTCCTTTGGCTGCCTTAAGAGTCACCAAATCTAAATTCATTATGCAGTAGCAACTCTTTCCTTTTTCCCTGCTCCCTGTTCCATTTTATGGTAGCTTTAACTTTAAAGCCCCTTCAAATCCTTTTCTGAAGTAGGTGGGTAAAAAACATAACTGAGATAGCAGAATTACAATATTTGGTTTTCTAGTACACCCAGATTGGTCACTCTCGGCTACAAATGAGAAAATCAGGATAAGAATAAGATGAAAATATTTTTCTACAAGAATAAATATAATGACGAATCCATTGTTTTTCCCAAGCATATGTCTCACTGAAGATCAAACTTAGGTGGGGGATATGCATTCTGTTTACAGTAATGAAAAAAAAAACTATTGTTAATTCATGATTTTAAAACAATAGAAATGAACAAACTTTATGTACTGTATCAGTGCCTTCCAACTTATAAGAAAAACAGCATTTAATAATTTAAGTTCAAAAGAACAAAATGGGTAAATCTAATTCTAGTAAGATTCTAAGTAAGCTGACAAAACTCACACGAATCAATCATGAACATATCAACAAAGAAAGTTCACAAAGACAGGATCATGCCACTATATTTTCCTTATCTTAATATTCTATTGTAGCTTTYTTCCACGCCTGGACCAAAAGAACACAAACTGTGGCTTGTGGGCCAATCTGACTTTGAGTATAATGTTTAATAGGTTTATATATTATTGTCCATGGCTGCTTTTGCTCTAGAATGAAAGAGTTGATCAGTCATGACATAGACCACATGGCATGCAAAGCTGTAAATATTTACTCTACCTCCTTAAGAAAGGGTTTATTAAAATGGGTGCAGTGGAACACACCAGTAATCCCAGCTATTCAGAAACTTTTCAAATTTAAGGCCAACCTGGGCAACTCTGTCTCAAAATAAAAAATGGCTGACAATGTAGCTCAGTTGTGGAACAACCCTGGGCTCAATCCCCAGTATCACACACATACGCACACACACACACACAAACAAAAAAAAAGGAAGAAAAATGAGGGGGGGTGAGGTACCAAAACCTAGCGTAGCCTAGACCCTAGGCTCAGAATACCCTCATTAATAAGAAAAATTATTCTTAGAATCAGAAGAAAAATTCTCTACTAACATAAGTGGATGTTTGCCTGGTGGTTTGAAAATTTCCAAAATGCAAAACACAAACTAAAGTAGGTTACATTCCTATCTACTGGTAAGAAAAATGAACAAAAAAATACTATTACAGTAACTACTTATGTCTATGAAGCACTGACAACACTGTAACATTAAGATTATAATTGATCATGTGCATAGATATAATATGCACACCTATGAAAACAATAACCCCCCCAAAATCCTGATTTTATAAAACCTAAACATAGTAAATGTCAAAAATCTTGAGTTGTCTAAAGAATATGAGATCCCTAACATGGTGATTTGCAGGTCCCCTTTACCCAGCCCCTGAAGGGCAACAGTAACAGAGTAGTCTACATTAATATAAAAGTAAAGTATGGCAATATGTAAATCAATGGAAGTGTAACTGATGTGATTCTGCAATCTGTATACGGGGTAAAAATGGGAGTTCATAACCCACTTGAATAAAAGTGTGAAATATGATATATCAAGAACTATGTAATGTTTTGAACAACCAACAATAAAAAAAAGAAAAAAAAGAGATGAAAAATAAGGGGAAAAAAAAAAGTAAAGGGGAAGAAAAATAATTAAGAAATGCTCATTTTGTGCTTTTCCCTTTTTCCACACAAAAATACAGGAACTGCTGGGCATACTCAATGTCCACAGCTTGTTTTTCCCAGATGTTTTATGTTGCCCACCAGCTTCATGTTTAAGAACCTCCAAAGGAATCCTTCTACACCACCCAGTTCTCTATCCATCTAAAGATTTCATGAATTTTCCACGTGAAGTTACTGAAAGAACATAAGAGTTCCTCTAATTTAGGACTAAGCTCCACACATTATCTTTCCTATCACTTACTTGCAAGAAATCAGAGCAGTCTATAAGACTACTGAGCTTACTATCCCCTTTTATGGGCAGTACTGTGTCAACACAAGTGCACCTCATTCTCAGAAAGCTGTCCAGGTTCCAAAGAATAGCACTGCCATCCCAGGTACTGAGGCAATAATTAGAAAATTAATTTGATGAATGGCTAGTAAAAGAAATGGCTGACTGTGAGGCACAGGTAGCTCCTTTGTGGCAAACTTCCGAAGTTTGTTTTTGTTCTGTTTTCTGATACTAGGACTTTAACCCCAAGGTGCTTTACCACTGAGCCACATCCCCAGTACATATTATTTTTGGAGAAAAAGTCTTGTAAAATTGCCCAGGCTGGCCTGGATCCTCCCGCCTCAGCCTCTCAAGTCACTGGGATTAAGTATACATCACCATGCTCACCTATAGAGCCATTTGTGATAGTCAAATGCCCAGGGTCACTTGAAAAATATACATCTTTCAATGTTCCGGATTTTGGCAGGGCCCACAAGGAGCATCAGAGACAGAAGCTTGTCCCCTCTCACACAGCCTCCAGATCTTGTGCTAGGTAAAAACATCTTGCCAGCAATAACTTAGCTATTGTCTATATTCATTAAGCTTGGGTGGAATGGTTAAACAAAATGATGAAAACAGAACCAGACAACAGCAAAAGTACTTGGCAAAGCAGAAGCTGCAATATTTGAATACTAGTTTTCTCCTATAATATAAGATCATACTTCCCAGACCCAAGGATCACTGCTCTAATTGAGGTGAAGAGACAGTCCCTGTCAACTTCGCTTCCCCAGTTCTGAAGAAGTATGGTATCTGCAGTAATATCCTAGTAAACCTAGGATATTTTTCATAAACCCCAAAGAAATTGCCTTAAGGGTGTTCTTTGCTATAGTTTGGGTCTTCGATGTCCCCCAAAGGTCCATGTGTTAGAGGCTTGGTCCCCAGTGTGATAGTATTGGAAGGTGATGAAAACTTTGAGTAATGGGGCCTAGTGAGCAATCAATCTTTAGGTGACTGGGGGTATGCCCTCAGAGGGGACAGTGAGACCACAGCACCTTCCTCTTCCTCTTTCACTCTGCTCCACCACACATTCCCACCATGCTATAACACCACAGGCCCAAAGCACTGGGGCTGGTCCTGAACTGAAACCTCCAAAACTAAAAGCCAAAACAAACCTCTCTTTGTAAGCTGATTACAGCAGGTATTTGTTATACAAACAGAAAACTGCCTTACACAATTTCACTCCAAGATTGCACTTCAGAGTAACCATCCTACCTTGATAGAAGCAATATGAAGCAAAGTTTCTCCTCTATGGTTTCTTTTCCCAACCATAGAGCTACCAGGAAACAGCTTCCTTGCAGAGGGGCTCAACATCATTCGTCGGTAACTTGAACTATTCAGTGTAGATGGTGGTGTACATGGTGAAAGGCTAATGGACTCATCTGATGTATTACTGTTTTTCCTCTTCGTCATGTCATCCCCTTTAAGTTTGCTGGGAGGTGGGGAGGAACAGTCAAGCAATGGGATGTTTTCTGAGAGAACTGTTTGCTTAACGAAATCTCCACTGGTGCTTGGAATGCTGCTTTTACATCTCTTAGACGTGGAGCCAGACAACCTGCGACAACACCCACGTTTGCCAGGGAGACCGGAGACCAAAGCTGCCTTAGTTGTAAGATCACTGTCAGTGACCTCTTTCTCCTCAGGAGTCACCTCATTCTTCCCCTCAAGGTCTGGAGACTCTATATGCTCAGCCAATGGTAAAAAGACCTCAGTTAAGCTTCCAAAGCTTTCAGATTCTGTTCCAGAGCCACTTGCTAATAAGTCTATTTCACCATTTATCTGTGGACTAGTGATAACTGATGGTGAGCTACAGAAGGATACCACCCTTTCCTTAAATTCCTCTTTGGAGTCAAGTTCACCAGCTTCTTTTTCTACTTCTAAATTCCATTCTTGGTTGATTTCAGCTAAAGTTTTCTTTTTTTGCTTCTTTGCAGATGTTGTAGAAGCCTTTTTAGCCCTCTTAGGAACAACTACAGGAGGACTTGAAGAAACAAATTCATACATTGATGCTTGCTGAGTTCTATCATCTTTTACTTTTTGAGGCTGGGTCTGCACTGAAACTTTACTCACAACATATCTGACCCTCTTGCTTCGAGGACTAAACCACATCTTTATTGAATTCTTCTTGTTTTCCGAATCATTGAATATATTTGTTCTAGATGTATCATCTTTCAAATCTGATAGAAAAAAGAAAAAGATCTGTTATAGGGACTAACTTTTCCCATCTTGAGCTAACAAAGAATTTTGTTTATAGTTCTTCTAAGGTACATAAATTTGTATTTGTGTACCTCTTTCTCAATCCTAGACTATGCACTCTTTGCAAGAAGGCAGACGCTCATTCAACAAGCATTTGCTAAATCCTTCTTTGTGGTAGACACCATAGTAGAAACTAGAGGAAAAGCGAGAACTCAACATGGAACTGAAGGGAGACAGAAAAATAAGTGAAATATATAGTATGACAGAGGGCAATAAAAGATATGGAGGGAAATACACTCATAAAATAGAGAAAGAAACAACTGGGTGTGGAAGTGAACACCTGTAATCCCAGAGATGTGGAAGACAGGGGCAAGAGGATCACAGGTTCAAGGCCAGCCTCAGCAACTTACCAAGACCCTGTCTCAAATTAATACTTAAAGAAAGGAAGAAAGGGAGGGAAAGAGTGAGGTGGGGGAGGAAAAGGAAAGAAAAGAAAACGAAAGCAAAGAAGAAAAGGACAGATGTAGGATTTAATAAGCAGAAAATAATTAGTGTTTAATGTTTCAAAAATTGCAAATCAATATAATTTACTATATCAACAAACTAAAGGAAGATCATGTGACGTTCTCCATAGATACAGAAAGAAAAATTTGATAAAATTCAACGTAATTCTTTCTTTTTCTTTTGAAGACTTAGTGCTGAGAGCCACAGCGGAGTCTGTATGGCCCCTGGCATTTTGCCAACAGTATTGATTGACAGGCGAGGCATTAATATCCGCCTTTGCCACTACTTTTGAGTTCTTGCACTATTTTGGAGTTCTCATGGGGATTTCTGGGGATTCCCCGAGAGTTCCCTTTGGTTGGGGAAGTGCAGGAGGAGGGATTTCCCAGAGAGATATTTCCGGCTGGGGGTTCCTGGAGGAGCCGCGTGGCATTCCGGAGAATTCCCCAGGAGCGTGTGTGAGGTTTTTTCTTGCAGTTCAAAAATAAAGTTTGTTCCTGCTTCAGTGGCTCGTGATTTGTGCCCAGCCAGACTGCGGCAACTTGGTACCAAAAAAAAGCTAAAACTAGACTAACACATGAACTAGTCGTTCCACCTTTGGGTATGTAACCACGGGATATCCGATCAGTACAACAAAGAAATGACTATTCACAATAGTTAAGACATAGATTCACCCAAGAAGTATCTACCCACAGACGAATGGATAAAGAAAGTACAGTATACATACACAATGGAATATCACTCAGTTGKTTTTTTTTAAAAAAAGAGAGAGATAGTTATTTGTAGAAATATGAATGGAACTAGAGAATATTAAGTGAAATAAGCCAGGTATTAAAAAAAAATATGTTCTCTTTCACATGAATAAGTTTAAAAAAGTTGATTTTATTGAAGTAGAGAGTAAAAGAGTGTCACTACGAATTAGTAAGGGTAGAGGTGTAGAGATAGAAGATTGGAAAAGGGTATCAAAATACTATTAGGAGGAATATGATCTAATATTCTATAGCACAGTAGGGTGACTACAGTTGACATAAATTTGTGATATATTTCATGAACAGCTAGATGGGACTGAAAAATTCCTAAAACAAAGAAATGATACAAGTTAAAGAAAATGTAAATACAAATTATCCTGATTGGAAAATTATACATTGTATACATATATTGAGTTATCACACAGTTCCACCAAAATATGTACAATTTTAACAAGTAAAATAATTTTGAATGGAAAAAAAAGGAGTAAACCTTAATGTAAACTATAGACTAGTTGAGAATAATGAGTCAACATAGATTCATCAATTACAGCAACTACACTACTCTAGTGGATGTTGATAATAAGGGAGACTCTGCATGAACGGGGGCAAAGGGGAAATAAGAATTCTGCACCTTCTTCTTAGTTTTGCCGTAAACTAAGAGAGGAAATTTTTCCTTCATACACTTTATGGTTCTAATAGAGAATGAAAAGACATAGAAATCTATGTAAAATGACAGGGTTAAAATCTGTAAGTTTAGAGTATTAGGAATAAGTCTCAAAAAATGTGATAAATTCACTGAATAAATTTGTGTCTAAAAGAGTATAGTAAAAGTTTTTCCTATCCAACAAATTGTACAAACCACCCACTTTTCTGATTCTGACAGCCAGCTTCCTTTTTGTCTTACTTTGTTTTTGCCTTTGATACCATTCATTTTCTTTAAAAAAAAAAAAAAAAAAAAAAATCTCTTGGGGCTGGGGGATAGCTCAGTGGTGGAATGTTTGCCTAGCATGCACAAGGTGCTGTGTTCAATGACCAGTATCACATAAACAAACAAACAAACAAAACCCAGCGAATTTCTTTTTTCCTTGAAGTCGCTCTTCCTGCCCCTCCTATCCATATTCACATACATAAAATCAACCCAGGTCAGGCAGCACAGTGGTGAATACAAGGATAATGCCCAGTATATATTGATGAATAAATTATTTGATACCCTCTTCAAAATTGAAAAGTATTTATATAAGAGACATTAGAATTAATTTAAAGACTACAGTTGCAACTCAGTGGTAAAGCATATATTTTTAGCATGCATTTGGGATATGCTTTATGTGTCCTATTAAGAATTTTAAAAGGAAACTACTTGACATGTTTTCCTCCTCAGATGTCATTTCTCATTCAAGCCAAGAATTTTGTAAACAAACAAACAAAAAAGAAACTCCTACATTACAGAACCAAAAAGAAAAAAAATTAATAGAAATGAGTTCTAAACATTAGATTCTTTAAGAAAAATGCCAACTGCCACACTTGGTGCACCTCATTCTTAAGGACTAATAGCAGCCACTCTGTGTGAAATGTGCTATGTAAAATTTTCAAATGGGCTTTTTCTTAAGAACTTTCGTTACTTTAAAGACACAAAATAATTTTAATTTTTAAATTTTTTTTGAGAATAACTCTTTTCAATGTTCTCATTATTATGGTTTAGATATAAGAGGTAATGCAAATGCACCCAAAGCTCAATGCAAATGCACAACCAGGCAAGGTGGCTCATGCCTGTAATCCCAGAAGGGATTGCAAGTTCAAGTCCAGACTCAGCAATTTAGCAAGGCCCTAAGCAATTTAGGGAGACTTTGTCTCAAAAACAAAACAAAACAAAACACCTCAGCAGTTAAGTGCCCCTGGGTTCAATCCCAGTACCAAAAAATAAAAAAATTAAAATTAAAAGAGAGAGGTGGGGAGAGAGGAGAGAGAGACAGAGAGAGAAAGAGAGAGAGAGAGAGGGAGAGAGAGTGAGTGTGTGTGTTCAGAGGTAAAATGATTGGTTAGGAGAGCCTTAAGCTAATTAGCGCATTAACCTACTGATAGGACTTACTGGGTGATGACTGTAGGTAAGTTGTATGTGGCTGAAAGTGTGGCCATGGGGTTTATAGTTTGTCCCTGGTAAGCAGAATTCTCTCTGATTCCTGATTGTCATGTTCTGAGCTGCTCTCCTCCTCCATACCCTTCCCTTTCATGGTGTTCTGCCTCACCTCAAGCCCAGAGCAGTGCAGCTGCTGTATGAACTGAGACTTCTGAAACTGTGAGTACCAAATAAACGTTTCCTCTAAAATTGTTGTTGTTAGGTCTTTTGGTCACAGTTGCAAAAAACAAACAAAACACAACACAACTATAAGCATTCATGTCTAGAAATACTACAAAGTATATTATCATTATCATATATTTTTATTTCCTTCCAGTCACTTTTTATTCAGAGAACCCCATGGTTTTATTGTTTACCAATTTAAAATTATTAATACACCAGCTAGGGACAGTGGCACATGCCTGTAATCCCAGCAAAGTGGGAGACTGAGAAAACAGGAACACTAGTTCAAGATCAGCCTCAGCAACTTAGCAAGGCCCTAAGCAATTTAGTAAAAAAAACCTGTATCAAAAAAAAAAAAAAGGCTGTAGATGTGGCTCAGTGGTAAAGTGCCTCTGGGTTCAATCCACAATACCATGAAAAAAAAATTATTAACATATCAGAAGATTGTTTCAATTTATATAAAGTTCAAAGTCACTTCTTTTGTCTTGTCTTTTACCTCATAATCCATGAGTACAAAAGTTCCATCTTTATAGACAGACTTACCAAGTAAAAGGTAAGAAGAAATAAAAAATATTTGATTTTGAGAAATAGATAATTACTCTTTAACTCAGTAGAAATTTCAAACCTGATCCCTACCTAACCGGAAGGGGGAAAAAAAAAATAACAAGTATACTCCCAAACAGTGACTACTTCCTTCTGGTGAAAAGGAAGCATTTCACTGAAGACAGAAAACCAATAACTCACCTAGATGCAGAAGTATGTATCTGAATAAGGAAAGACCCTCCTAACCTTTCTATCAGGTTACTGATTGATTGATTGATTGCAGTACTAGGAATTGACCCCAGTGGTACTTTACCGCTGAGCTGCATGCCCAGAGATAGATAGATAGATAGATAGATAGATAGATAGATAGATAGATAGATATTTTTTTTTTTTTTTTTTGGAGACAGGGTTTTAAGTTGCACAGGGCTGGCCTTGAACTTGCAATCCTCCTGAGTGGCTATGATTACAGTATGTACCACAGTGCCAGATCAAATATTTTTTTAATATCATAGTTGAACATCATATGGTCCACAAAGTGTTACTAAGACAGGATCTTAGAACTAAAACAATCAGAATGAGGCATCTGTTCACAATGTGATTTTACATCTAAATTCAAYAAGGTCTTTTCTTTGCACCACTAAGTCGATTTGAAAACCAAGCCATTTCTGATATAATCTCAAGACTAGAGGAAAGGTCAAAAGGAAATGTTACCAGGACTACTTTTAAAGACAGACTCAGGATTACAAAGATTTAAAGGTTAACCTTCAGGTAATCTGTAAAAACCTGTATTTGGTCTTTTAAAATTTGTTTCTTTAAACACAGATGATGACATTTTCAATAAAAATAAGTCAAATCCCAAAGTCCTCAATGTTTATAATCTTACAAAATGCAG